AAAAAAAAAAAAAAAAAAAAAAAACTCTAGAACAACCACGAAGCTAATACCAAATTTTACCGTATTAAGCAGAAAATCAAAAAAATTGATGATAGCGATGTTCTTCGAAGCATTAAAGATACCTCAAAAGTGTTCAATATAGCATTGAAATCTGACAAATGACGATCAACTTCACCAGATGTTAAATTCTCTTTTACTCCAATAACCTCAGCAGGGAGAAGATATGAATATCTTCGAAGGCTACATTCTCTTCGGGCATCAAAGCTCCTGAAGATAAGGTAAGCAAACATTAAGCAGAAATACATATATAATAAGAGGAATCACAGCAAGTTGAAGCGGATGAAACTCTCACTTAATGCACAAAAGATAACATCCGGAGAAGTATTAATTGCTCATGATAGTGTAAACAACCAAAAGCAGGTCAATGAGTCGTCTAGCCTATTAAGAAAAGAACTTGGCACAAGAATCCTTAACTTACTATTAGCCTCTCCATATACAGATAATTAACAGGACCAAGTGATCAAGCAACCACTTTATTAAGACAATAACATGATACACATGTCATGAAGAGCATTTGCAAATATAAAAAGCGAAAAAACATTCAAGATGTGTCAACAGATTTAGTTTTCAATTGTGATTTTATTAATTCGGAAGAATAGTTAACTAATTTTGATGAGAACGAGGTCTTCAACTTTCCATCTTTCAGCACAAATGCATGCATGTGTGTTTGTGTGTGAGCTGCTACCTTTGTGAAGGCAAGATGCTGAAAACTCTTATGTCGTCAGGAAGATAAGAATTAACATAAGTCGCAAGAGCAAAACCATTTGGGTCATTTTTCCAGGCAAATTCTGGGATCTCCAATTTTAAGGATATCATGGTTGCCAATGAATGAACCTGAAATGCATGATAAACAAGAAGCCAGGTGAAGAAAGTTGGGTAAAAAACTAAGGATAAATATGCAAAAATCTGTAAGTATAACATATACTTACCCCTTTATCCGTCCGACTACTTCTTGCCCACCCAACTTTGTGCAAATCACCATAATTGCTATCTTTGATTCCACCAGCTTTAAAAATAGCTTTTTCTAGTTCCCCTTCTATGGCTACACAAGAATATGTAAGGCGCTTCAGCAAAATCTTGAAACTAGCCACAAAGATTTAGAAAATATGATCATTGGGGCATGCCAAGTCATCAAGATCCGTTTTATTCAAACAAAGTTTAACAAGTCACCCTTAAAATAACATAATAGTGACAAAACAGCAACTTAAAAATGTAAGCATGCTGACCTACTGATGATATTTACCAGAGCAGTCAAAGGAACAAACATTGTTTGAGGCTAACAATCAAAAGAAGACAACAATTTGCTGAAACAGAAAGCCCAGATGAAGAAACCACTATATTGGCGTTATTTCATCTATAAACTCACAGGTCGTAACTAATATCCGTACACTCCTGCATTCTTTATTTAAATATGTCAAAATCATCAAACAGAAACAAAATCAAATTAAATAATTCCAATCTCGAGTCCCTCCTCGTTAGTGGAGACCCCTGTCGACCACCACCACCACAACACCCTCCACATACACACACAAGGAGAAGAAAAAGACTGATGCTCACTAGTAAGGTTTCAAATGAACCAAGTAGTTAGTGATTCATTCGGCGTTCGACTCGTTTAAATAAAAGTTTGTTTGAGATAATGTAACGAGGCTTGTTCAAATAAATAACTAAGTCCAACTATACCCACCTCATTAAGCTCATGACTACATGTTATATAGTTTTAAACAAAGAGTTGTTTTTATTTAAAATATTTATAATTTTACTAATACCCATGTATAAACATATGAAAATCTTTGATTTTTTGAATAAAAACATTGACATTGATAATTTCCTAGCGCTATTTTAAAAATTTCCGTTTCCATACTTGAATATAAGATAATGAAATGGATAATTTTAGTTGTATTTGATGTTTACTAAGCTCGCACTAAGCTCAAAAAGAAGCAAGAGAACCATCAATACACCTTATCAATAAGGTCCAAACTCAACTCCATAATAAACCAGCCGAGTACAAATGCTCGAAAGCTCAGTTCAGCGCAGCTCGGCTATATTTCCATCACAGACCTACTGACCACATACTAATCGAATTTAGAATACAGGTAAAAAAGGAAGTAGGGGAAGAATCTCACTGGATAGAGCATGTTCGTCTTTCTGAATCTGTAAACCTGCCACGACCATACAACACAGTCCATCACGCCAAGAAAAATAAAACTATCAAAGAAACAAAAGAGAAAAATGGAAATTATTGCAACAAAGGAACAATGAGCTGGTATGCAGAGCTGACCTCTGTAATCAGAACCGACGTAGCCCACGCGCATTACGACTTTCTTCTTGCGAAAAGGTTCCCATTTGAGTGACGTCTCCGAATGGCTAGTTTGGGGGGTGCTGGCGGCGGCGGCGGCGGCGGCGGCGGCGGCGCAAGATGAATATGAGATGCGGTGGATGATAATTCTAATGGATTTGTGGTTGTTGCAGCTATCGAAGCGGCGGCATCTCATAAACGGAGTAACCCACCATGGGGAAGACGGAACTCTGAACAGGGAAAACGCCATGCTCGTGAACTGAAGCTTTTTGGAAGACGACCCAAAAAAACTGCAGCGGTAATTTGGGGGCTGTCCAAGTGTGCCTCAAAGATAACAAGGTTTTTGCCAATAAGGCTATGTTTAGTTGAAATAAGAGAAAGGGAGGGGTGTGATTTTAATAGAATGGAGGTGATGTAAAATAATCTTATTTGTTTGGAGAGATTTTGTGGAAGGTGAGTGAAGGAAAAATGATAAATTTTATTTGGATAAAAATTAAATTGAAATAAGATATTGTGAAAATAATAATTATACTTTAAATGATGTAAAAAAAACAAAATAATTCATATAATAAGGTCAAAAGAATAATTTTGTTGTTAAAAAATTTAGTGAAAATATCTATTTTCACCCCGTTTTGAAGTCTTGTTAAGTTTTTCACACCGCCCAATAAAAAGCTAAGTGTTTCACCCCAGAAAGTGCGAAGGTTATGCGAAAACTGTCGCATATTCATCGCATAATTGGCCATATGCGAAGGTTATGCGAAAAACTGTCGCATAACTGTCGCATATAAATTGCATAACTGTGCGAAGGTCATGCGAAAACTGTCGCATATTCATCGCATAACTGTCCATATGCGAAGGT